GGATTGCTTCCAAGTAGTTTCATTTGATGCCAACCTGTATATTCTGTAGCAGAAGCCACTGAAGAGGTTGTTGATGCATTTTCCCAATCCTTCTCACCATTACGACTGCCACAACGACTTGGAGATATGAATCCTTCCACAGACTCTGACCTACAAGTTATATTTAAGCAATAAAGAGGTGATAAAAAAACAACATATGAAAACGAACGTTCTTTAATGTTAAGATGGAACTAAGAGGCACACTGCTATGGTTTGTAGTTGTTGTTTTAAATGAAACAAGCCCCTGGTCATTTCTAGTTTAACATCTGTCCCAGAAGAAACACACTTTTGGTGAGGATGCATCCTATAGTGGCTATCGTGGGATAACAGTTGGTGCTGAATCCACAGCAAATTTTAATTATAATTGTATATTAGTTCACACAATGTAAAGACATCCATCTGTGAAGCTTTTGCTTCTCTATAGCCATTCCCATATAATGGCTTCTTAAAATTAAGATTGCTTCCATGATTTAACTTCTAAATATATACATCAGGGGTTGTGCAAAGTGTGGGTTTTGGCCCCCAGGGCTTAACCCTACCCTCCATATATGGATTTTAAAAGTTTGGGTTCCAAATGATCTCTGGGGATGTGGAGAATATTTCCACCACTTTCAGAATCCCATTGGAATCCAAAGGGTTATAATGAAAATTTGCAAAACAATTTTTATTTGCCATGGAATGACTGCAAATGCCCTTCTACTGACCCTGGAAGGTCCCCAAACGTGACCTCATGTTGCCACATAGCTTTAGAGGACATTTGGGGGCAAAATGATTTTTTCGATGGAAGTCAATGTAGTGAGGAGTGAAGTTGTCCAAGGTTTCCGGCACAGTTATTACTACCCCTCGTCATCCACTCCCCTCCCTGATATATGTATTTAGGCTGCAGCACGTTCTGCTGCATTTACTAGGTTAAAGCATTCATAGCAGTATACTATATATATACTCATGTAGAAGTTGAGGGTAGGTTTTGTGGCCAAAAATATGCTATTTTGCATGATCATTCAATGGAGAGTGGAAAGTGCAATTACCACCGCAGGGAACCAGCTGTTTCTAGCTCCCACCACCACTTCTCCATCCAAGCATTCAAAAAGATCAGAAGCAGCATCACAGTGGAGAGAAGACAGCAGAGTGGAGACTTCTAGGTTCTCCCGGGATAGCCTAAGCTGTTGCTCTTTGCCACTCGACTTAAAGGGGGAGATTGTTCCTTGTTTACATATGAAATAAAAGTACAATGGTCAACTTGACCCACAGATACGTTGACTTAAGTTGGTTTTTTGACTAAAATTTCTAGACTTATACATGAGTGCATAAGGTAAGTATGTTCTCCGAGGGGTATTTTTTTAAGTAAGGTCTGTTTTGTTGTAGACACTAGTAGTTCGCATGCATACCGCAACAAGCGCGTGCGTCGTGTACCGGCATGCCTCGGGAACAACTGTGCTCAGTTTCCGTTCTGTAGCTAACCTGTACGGTTCTGTTCTGTGCTTTAAAAATGTTTAAGACTATCAACTCACCCTCCGCATGTGAGGTTCGCTCAGTGATACGGTTTTTGTCAGCAAGGAACCTGCCTGCTGCAGAAATTCATCGACAGATTTGTGAAGTGTACGGTGATACTGTTATGAGTGAAAGCAAAGTGCGTAAGTGGGTACGACAATTCAAAGATGGCCGTGACAACGTCCATGATGAGGACCGCTCCGGTCGCCCTTTGACGACGTGAAAACGGCAGTGAACTCTTGGTTATCAGAGCAGGCAGCAAGTTTTTATGAAGAGGGTATTTTAAAATTGGTTCAGAGGTATGATAAGTGTTTGAACCAACTTGGCAACTATGTCAAAAAATAGAGTGAAGTATGTACTTTCTGAAAATAAATTTACTTCTTTGAAATAAACTTTCGTTGTGTACTTATGTTCAAACGGACCTTACTTAAAAAATACCCCTTGTATTTCTATTCATACAGCCAGAGAGCATATTACCGCCCCAGAAAAGCACTGAATGAAACCATCATACGCGTTGCCCCCAATCCTCTACCCATACAGTCATACCATGTCTTGTGATGTCAAGTCATTACAAATGCATAAAAAGCAATGTGTCAATGGAAGCCTGTGAATGACTCATAACACCCTGAGAATTACTATTTCCAGGCTTGTGTTATGGTCATTGTGTATATCCAGATGGTCACATGAACAGAGCTAGTATATTCATCACTGGGTCTGAAGACATGAAGTCATGATTTCTCCTCAAAAATGCATGACATTATTACCTCATTGGCTGAACAGTGTGTGCTTGCAATCATATAAACTTAACAATTTCTTCCAAATGGAAATGGTGTAACCGAAGACTTACCTTGGCGTTCTCTTGCCCGACTGAACACTCTCATTGTCTCCTGTATTCAGTGAGGCCAATGAAAGGCTAGACACTGGGGATGGGGGGGAAACAACATCAACAACACAGTCAGGTTGTGAACCTAGATGAACACAAGGAAGTTTAAAAAATGATGAAACATAAAATAATTTTTTAAATCATGTAAGCATTAGGAAAGTTGCCAAGATTTCTAAGAAATGTGTTGGCTTTCTACTATGAATTCTGTGCCTGTACACTAATATAGTATAGATAGATTTGTTAATTGATTTGTTCACTGACCGTATCAACAATAAAAGACAAAAAAATACACATGCAAATAAACACCAATGACTTTGCTAAAACTCCTATAATGGTTAACTAAAATAAATTAAACATGATAAAACTCGATTAAATAATAAGTTTGGTAAAATGGGATTCAATTACAAGATATAAGCAAGGGGAGTGGCAAGTGTAAAAGAGTATAGTTTCTTATACAATACTTGTATCTTTACACAGTGAACCGTGAGAGATGATTCATAGAGATAAGCCCCTTGTTAAAATAGAGGTGATGTTCTTGTGCCGATTTTCTTAGTTGTGAGCCAAATGGAAT